CTCTCTCTCTCTCTCTCTCTCTCTCTCTCTCTCTCTCCCCCCTCTCTCTCTCCAGCCTTGCAGAGATGGGTAGGGTCTTTTGAAATTGCTAGATACAAATTGGCATTTGTTGTCTTTTGCCAGGGCTTGTTTAGGCAGCCCACATTGCTGAGATTTCATGGGTTCAGCCTTCCAGTAATGTTGGAAGACATTATTTAGCAGCATATATTCTCTGAGCCTTAGGTATAGGGATTGCATCATGGACATATTAATTGGAGATGGGTAATGCATGGTGAGGTGTTCTCTGCATTTTGAGCAGTTGTGGCTTTCTGTAATACTCTGTCTGCTACAAAAAGAAGCTTTTTTGATGGGTGACGAGAGCTACATTTACCAGACAAGAGTGATATGCTTATTAAAGGACTTACTTTATGTGTGATTTGTAGGAAATATGGAAATTCATGTAGAGTGATTAGAGAGGATTAGGAAAAGGAAAAGACTCAAAAATCAATTTTTAACAGAAATTCTTCAATGAGTAGGTTGATAGGTATATCAAATGGAAAAAAGGTATATTTTATTCTTTCTTGCACAGAAAACTTTCCTTTTATTATCTACCCACTATTCTTTCTACTCACATATCCTTTAAAACAGTTTTGAAAATGTCTGGTTTTGGACTCTATAATGTAAGACAATTTGAATAAAAATGTTTCATATGATAACACTAGCCATGGGAATCAGTGATCAAGTGGATATGCATCAAATGAGTTATCAAAGTAAGAGTGAGATCTTTAGCCAGAGACAATAGGAAAAGTGAGAAAGAATATGACTATTAGGAACAACAGAGATATACTCTGTAGGTCATCATTGGCACTGTGTACCAGGAAACTCTTTCATCTCCTTATTCTCTCTGAAGTGGCTGCCATGCATCTCCATACCTTATTTTTATCATTGTGGCAAAGTGTCAGATATCAGTAGTAATATGTTAGTGCATACTTGCAATTCTTTACTGCATGGTGCCTGTGTATGGCAGAGTAAAAGCACCTCAGTATGCCACTTGGCTCATGGAAGGTGCATTGGATGATGTTTGACTCATGATAAATACTCAACATATGTTAGCTATTAGTTGCTAACAAAGCTAATAAAGCTGTAAATAAGCCTTAAATTACTAAAATAAGCTCAAGAATCTGTGTCATCTTATTTGTTTAGCCATTATTTCACAGGCACACACTGCATTCAGGGTTTATGCTAGAGACAAGGAGTATATCATCTCCTCCCAGTGGGCTTGCCATACTGTGACCTCTGGAGGGAAAGCTTAAAATAAGTGTCATATGCCCACAGTCCATGTGCTCATTTTCACCACTAGGAATCAATCCATTGGCTAAAACAGGCAATGTAGGCCAAGTCAGTCTCTCTCTGAGAAGTGTAATTAAAATAGTCCAAGACCAAGCCAGTTATCCTTGGTTGTTGAGCTAAAAGAGTATATTGATTGAAAGAATGCATTTTGGATGAAGTCCAAGTCACAAAGTGCTGGTGAAAACGAAAGAGGCAAGAGCATAGAGTTAGAAAAAAAAGAAGGAAGAGAGGTGAAAAGTAAGAGGAAGGTTAAAGAAAAAGGAGGGGGCAGGGTGCTAAGTGTCAGAGAGAAGAGGGGACATCAAGACAGCCTTTGAAACTGTGCAGCCTTTGAAAAGACAGAATAGTACAGTAGAACTTTAGCATCCCAAATGCCAACTAGCCAATGACAAGATAAACTCCGGTAAATGGTTCTTTAAACCCTTAGGGTCATTACATTGTCCATTTAAGGAGACCACCAGTATACTGTTTCCTGCCAGTGTCCTTCAAGTGGTGAGTAATTATTAAAGTTGAGGAGATAGTATGTAGGCAGTATGCTAAGTACCTTCCACACATTAATTGTATTGCTTCTTCTCCTGTCAGCCTTGTGAAGTTTGTATCATACTAATTTTACAAAGGACAATACACACTAAGTAAAGTAAAACCCTTTACTGAAAATCTTCTGGTCCATTATCAGATGGAGATTTTTTTTTTTATTTTATTTTTATTTATTTTTTTTGTTTGTTGAATCTTTTTTTCTTTTTTTTTTAATTTATATTATTTTACAATACTATTCAGTTCTACATAACAGCCATGGATTTCCTTGTTCTCCCCCTTCTTGCCCCCCTCCCCTTCCCCCCAGCGCACCCCTCCTTTCCCACCACCTCCAGATCAAGGCCATTCCCGAGGACTGAGATCAACCTGATAGACTCAGTCCAGGCAGGTCCAGTCCCCTCCTCCCAGATTGAGCCAAGCATCCCTGTATAAGTCCCAGGTTTCAAACAGCTATCTCATGCAATGAGCCCAGGACCTGGTACCACTGCCTAGATGCCTCCCAAACAGATCAAGCCAATCAACTGTCTCACCTATTCCGAGGGTCTGATCCAGTTGGGGGCCCCTCAGCCTTTGGTTCATAGTTCATGTTTTTCCATTCATTTGGCTATTTGTCCCTGTGCTTTATCCAACGTTGGTTTCAACAATTCTCGCTCATATAAACCCTCCTCTTTCTCGCTAATTAGACTCCCAGCGCTCCACCCAGGGCCTAGCCAGGGATGTCTGCATCCACATCCTAAGTACTTGGATGGGGTTTCTGGCACAACTATTTGAGTGTTTGGCCATCCCATCACCAGAGTAGGTCAGTCCCGGCTGTCTCTCGGCCATTGCCAGCAGTCTTTTGTGGGGGTATCTTTGTGGATTTCTGTGGGCCTCTTTAGAACTTTGTTTCTTCCTTTTCTCACGTGGTCTTCATTTACCATGGTCTCCTATTCCTTGTTCTCCTTCTCTGTTCTTGATCCAGCTGGGATCCCCCACTCCCACAGGGTCTCTTTCCCTCAACCCTCGCCGTTCATTGCTCCCACTCATGTCCAGGCTGTTCATGTAGATCTCATCCATTTCTCTGTCATTGGGTGATCCCCATGTCTTTCTTGGGGTCCTGTTTTCCAGGTAGCCTCACTACCTGGATGTGAGTAGCAGTCCAGTCATCCTTGTTCCACATCTAGTATCCTCCTATGAGTGAGTACATACCATATTTGTCTTTCTGAGTCTGGGTTACCTCACTCAGGACGATTTTTTCTAGATCCATCCATTTGCCTGCAAACCTCATGATGTCATTGTTTTTCTCTGCTGAGTAGTATTCCGTTGTGTATATGTGCCACAATTTATTTATCCATTCTTCATTTGAAGGGCATCTAGGT